GTTGGGAACCACTGCTCTGTGACAGTAAACTGAATATCTTTAAGTTGTTGACATTTGAGAACGCCACCTTGGGCTTTGGGAAACCCTGATCTACACGTTTTCATCAAGAAAATGACTAAGAGATTCATTGATACTGAAAATAAGCCTTATAATGTATCTGTATTTATGGTTGTAAATGTTTTCTTATAGTTTCTGTAGCATTCTTTAAGAAAAAGATGGTTTTAAAGTTCTGTATTAACTGGTATCTGTGTTCATACTGGGGAAGAGCTATGCAACGTGTTTTGACTCATGCCAAACACTGATCACATAATGTCACACACTGAGTATTTCACTTTACTTTTTCTTTTGACTTGCATTGACTGAATGTTTGCTGTGCCCCTAACATCTACACCCCCGCTGACAGCTCAGTCCAGTCTCATCTGAGAAGACAAACTAAGAACATCGACCATCCTGCAGCAGAACCAACAGTGTGGTTGCCTGCAACTGTCTGCCTTTGTCTCCTTTTCTTCTTAAACCACCGATAAACCACAACCATGGCACACTACAGTTATGTGTAGAGTGTGTGTGTGTTTTGCCTCGAGCTTGTTTTGTTTCCACCTGCAGTTCTTTCCTGTCACTTTACTCAGAAAAAGTGTGTGAGCTGCTGTCAAACCACAAATAAAACTGTTTTATTGTACGTATTAACCAGTGATGGTAACACATGGAACTCATGTTTAATTACTTTGATCACAACAGAGCTTTGATTTTACAATCTTATCTGTTTGCATTCTATAGGATTTAGTCATTTTGCCTTAACACATTGCACTACAGATGTTTCTACTTCAAAGTGTCAGATTTCAGAGGATGTGAGATGACAGAAATCTATAACCACAGAAATTCTTAAAGGTGGGGTATGCAATTCTAGGTAATGTGATTCTAATGAGACAGTTTTTTATCTCCTCACAGTCTGATAGCTTTCCGTTCTGTGTGCACTGAACAAAGGTTTAGGGTTTAGTAAATGGGAAACAAAGTGGATCGAATCGCACACAGCACTAACTCAGCAGTGTTTCCTATTTTTTATGTAGACTATCTCTAACATTGTGTTTTACGCTGTAGCTTCAGCAAAGCAGTCTCCCCTCGCTCTGCCCCTCCTGTACAGTCTACTGACAGTCCCACTGAGACATAGAGACAGACGCTCTCTGGCACAGATACAGTGTTTATTTTCTCAGTGCAGACCATGTAAAACATGAGTGAACAGCAGTGAACACATCAGCTAAAAATCCTCAACTGCTGGTGTTAAAACGGGTGAAAAAAAATTGGGCTTTTTGGGCAATTTACTGCTGAAGAAAGTCAGCAGAGACACATACGTGTAGCTTGTGTGGAAAAGAGTAACGTTAAAAGGAAGTACGCAGAAGGCAATAAAAGTAGTTATATAGTACTTACTCTAATAAGGGGTAATGTATCTGTAAACTGTAAATATTTAACTGCTATAAATAGTTAAATATTAAACTGTCCCATCCTATGGGAAACACTGCTCAGGTAACATTAAATCACCTGCCCACAGACATATATAAGATATTTGGCTGCTGTCGATGGGAGCTGTGGCAGCAGGGGAGAGGTGAGTATCGCTGTCTGGAGCTGCTGTGCTTGCTGTGCGAAACCGCCTCGTCCTCTCTGCGTGTGAGCTGTGCAGCAGCAACTTTAGCGACAGTTTGCAAAGCCACAACATAGCTAATGTCAGCTATAATACTCGCTGTGTGCCCTTAAACTTAAATATGGAGACGGAACATGAATGCCTTTACACGTGATTCTGAAGATTTCAAAATAAACAGATTTCCACGTTTTCCCAGACAATGCGGAGACCTTATTGTTTCTGATTCTGCAGGGATAGAATGAGGGCCATAAGAAAATATGAGTTAAAAATGACCCTTAAAAGAATCAATGAATCAACTAATCGCTGCAGCTCTAGTGTGAGTGTTCACTGGCTGTATTTGACTGATACTGTACTGTTACTTTTGCACCTGTTTGGGTGGGATAACACATAGCTTGAGCTTTATTATTGCTACGAGAATTTTGGTGCCCTAATCTGGTTTCAGGCAAAGCAGGAGCACCACTGTGTCTACGTACAGCTGAGGGACAGAGCTGTCAATATGTTCGACGTGTTTAATATTTGAGCATTAAAGCCTCACAGTTATAATTCCATTACCACTGCTACTAAACCATAGAACTTTTTATCATCCGGTTTACCTGAAAAATAATTTCTCAGGTATCTTTTTAACGTCATGATGAATGCATCAAAGTGTTATTATAGCATATGGATCATTTTCCAGTAACGACTGCTTACTAAATGCTCATTTTCAATAAAAAGCCATTAAAAAAAAAATTAAAATGAGAACTTTCAACCCACATATAAATGAATTCATCGACTTGGAGGGGGCGGCCCAGGTACCTTCCAAGAAATGCTACTTGTCACTACCACCTACTACTTTCACCACTACACTTAAATGAAAGTATTACTTACCAGGACGTTTGGCAGCGGATTCTTTATCAGACAATGGATGAAACCAGTTAAGCCCAGCACCGTCAAAACGACCAAACCAGTTATCACCAACGAACACAGCACGCCGGATATCAACGGGTCTGCGGGGAGGAGAGGGGGGTCATGGGACATATTATTCACATATACTCCCAGAGGGAGAGAGGGCGGTGTGTGCATGAACTGTGCCTGAAACAATCAGTTAGAGATTTTCAAAAAAAAGTTGAAATAGGACATGGAATGTGATTCACCCTATCTAATCCAAACATTATAACATATTGATCTCAAAATATGGAAAGATTCTTTTCGAGTATTATTACTATTCTCATGATATCAAGTCTTTTTTGTTGAAATTTAAAAGTTGTAAATGGGTTTTGAATGAATTTGAAAATTAAAAAAGTAAATATAAATGTGAAATATTCAGATTTTCTGTTTTGTAATTACAATTTTATAAATTTGTTCTCGTAAAATTACAACTTAGTTGTCAAAATAAAATAACTTTTTCCTTGAAATAAGATGCACATTAACACAGTGCCCTGTACCTTGATTATAGATGGCCGTGGTGAAAGCACATACGGGTTGGCTGTAGTTGGACTGCCTGCGCCACTCACTCTCTTTGAAGCAGACTGCGACACAGCACTGTATGCCAGGGGCCAAATTATCAAAAATCTCTCTGGATTCCTGGATGTCCTTAAATAAATGAGACCGCAGACAGATGTTAGAACAGTACAAGAGAAAACAACATGACAAACGCTGCACTACTTTCATAGATAACACCACAGGAAGCTTTGTGTTCACACCTGCAATGTACGGAATAGATGCAATGAATGAATGAATGAATGAATCTTTCAAAGCATCCAGTTTAGAAGGAAATTTGGGAGCGCTTTATACAGACAGCTTTTATTATAATATCAGCCTTTGGTGTGTTACTCTACTCAACCTCTCATCTGTACCTGAAGCAACATTTTTTTAAAAGAGGGACTATTTTGAATGGCCGCTTGTTAATCATGATCACACAAGTGGATAAAACTGTCTGCGAGTCCATGTAGTCCAGTACCTTCTCTCTGTCCACACCGTTGCCCTTGCACTTGATCCTAAGACTGTAACGCAGAGACTCATATATTTTCCTAAGGTGCTCGATACGAGGTTGAAGTTCCACACACAGATTTTTGCCACAGGGCGTCACAGTCAGCAGCGGCAGGTCCAGGTGAGCTACAAGACACAGGGGAAGGAGACATACTTACATAAGCATTTGCCATAAAAACATACAGTTTATGTTGATGTTACATTGCTTGGCAACAGCAGGTAGCGCCTTCAAGCTTGCTAGATTTTTCTCGTGTTCTGAGTCGACAGAGCACCGGATGAGAGGAGGGGGGAGTTATAATAAATATAATAATAATAATATAATATAATAAAGAGTATATTGCTTTATTTGATTTGCTATAGTGTATTTAACAAATGTATAAGTTATTCTAGTGTAAATTTAAAAAAAATATCCTATTTTCTCTATGTGTGTAGCAGGAAGGGAGAGCAAACTTTTGTTTTGTTATACAACCTCGCGCTGTATACTGGTCAATACGTCTCCTTCCTTTCCACAATGTTTTTACTGGAGTGCATTTTCTGTTTATGAATGTGGGCACCCTAAACAGTACATTTGTTTATGTAAAGTCATTTGGCGCACCATTTCCTGGTGCAATAGAAGTCTTGAAACAGAGAACCGTTAAAGGTAAGTAAGTCAGGAAGTACAGCAGGTTTTACATCACATTTTTTAGTACTGTAATTTGTAATAATGTGCTATCCAGAGCTTTAAAGTGTTATCTTAATGACCATTATTTACAATGAAGTGACTTCCTGTTCCTCTAAACAGTTTGAAAACATGCTTTATGCTTTGTATATTGTGTAAGCCATTGTGTCAAAAGATCATAAAATACCACAACTTGCCACACAGCCTCCCCAGTTCTGCAACCAAAACACATCAAACCTTTGTGAATGGGGATATGACAAGGGTGAGCCTGTGTTTCTGCCATTAGACCAGAATTAAAGGGAACACACACTGTGACGTCTCCTGGTTGGCAGTTAAACCAGTTTTTGGAATGCTTTGATTGTTCACACAGGGAACATACACAGACGACAGAGCCACTTACTGTCTCTGATGGGTTTGAATGCTGGGTTGGTGTCGTATGGTTCTGAGGGCCGTGATTCCAGCAGCGGTGTAATCCGAATAAAGTAGGCGTAGTAGGCATTGTTGACGGCTTCTGTCAGGTTGCAAACCAGTGGGTGCTGGACATGCTCGCAGCCCGCCACTGGCACCCAGGAAGTTCCCCTTTAGGACCAGAGAGGAGGGAAAGAAGAAGACTTTAGGAGGACATAAAAGCCGAAAAAGCCTGTTCTTTGAGATTTGAGTTTGACTGGAGGAGTGCGTTTTTAGCTTCACATTCGATCCACTTCGTAATGTCTGTATCACGTATGACATGGTGGTTCGTGCAATAAACATTTGTTCTACATAATAATAATACATTTTATT